AGGAGAGAAGGGGGGGACCAGGTGGGGGGGGCGCTGTGCGGGGGAGGGGGCACAGAGGAGTGGGGGGGGGCGACCAGGGACAGCGGGATTGGGGGTGACTCCGATTTACACCAGCCGGCGACCAGAGCCGGTGTCAGACCCCGCAGCGGGGCTGAGCGGGGAACCCGGAGCCTGTTCCAGGCGCCCCCTGGCGGGCAAGGGGGGAATCCGGTGCTCGCTTTGCACCGTGTAAACGAGGCCGGGGCGGCTCCAAGATCCCATGAGCGGATGCGGCGAGGAGCGGGAGCTGGGCCGGAGCGAGCCAGGCCGCCCCCGGCCATGGGGCAGGCAGAGAGCCGGGCTCCCCCGGCCATGGGGCAGCCGGAGCGGCGGGGGTCGGAGTTGGAGCCCCTGATTTCAGGGCAGGCGGGACAGGGCGCGGCGCTCGGAGCTGACCCCGCTCCCGGACGGGCTCCTGGCGCGGAGCCTGAGCTGGGTCCCGGCCGCGCCCTGGGGACCCGCCGCCGGTGTAGTGTATGAAACCGCTCCGCCTAGCAACGTGCTACCGGTAGCACCGACCGAGCCGGATCCAGGGAGCCGTTTCTTGCACTACAGTGTCTATGGAATTGCTCCGTGTAGACAGGTGCTCCCCGGAGCAGTTAGTGATACAGAGCGAAACCTGCTACTTGCCTCCTAGGTCCTGGGGGTTTTACCCTCCGCCGGCGCCTCACTCCGGGGCTGAATTCCGCCTCCCCCCCCCTTCCTGATTTTGCCCTTTAGCCCCTCCCGTAATCCTGCCTCCAGCTGCTTGACCCCCAGACTAGTAAATCTCCAGCCCCTGCTCCGATTCGCCCCCTTTGCCCCCTTTTAACTCCTGTAATTAACACTCCACAGAGTTTTAGGGCTAAGAAGGGCAGGGGCTTCAGCGGATGAACTGAGCGCCCTCCGTACACCGTAGGTAGCAGATTCCTACGGACAGCACTTTAATCAACCACACCTGCTGTAAATCGGTGTCACCCCCAACCCCACTGTCCCTGGTGCCCTGCCCCCTGTACACACTCCTCAGTGCCCCCCTCCCCCGCACAGCGCTCTCCCACCTGGTCCCCCCCAACACCGGGCATTGCCCCCTGTGGGAAAACTCCCAGCCCCCCTGCTCTGCTAGAACTGGGGAGAGAACCCAGGAGTCCTGGCTCCCAG